TGTAGTTTATGTAAATTTTTATACTGTATGGAACAGTATACATCATTTATCTTTCACAAACTTTATTGGACACCTGATGTATCACATAAAAATAATTATGTTGCTTTTATTTACAATATTAAAATTTCAAATATTCATTTAAAAGTAATACAAGATTGTAGAATATATTAATGCATGTTTAAAGCAATTATTAAATTTCTGTCACAAAATTGTTTGTAGATTTTTCTTGGTAATTTTCATATACAGGTATATAAGTGGATAAGAATATCAAGTAATATTATAAGCATTGAGCACTTTACCAAATTTAATATGAATTATGGTATTGCAACAGAATTATAAAAATTTAAAAATTATTTTAATCACTTGCATTACGTTTTTAAATAACTAATTTAATAGCATGATTTTAATACTGTGAATAACTATTCATGTATACATATACTGTTTTTCGAATATTCTAATGATTACTAATCTAAATACATGCACAAGTCATACAACTCATATTATAACTAGATCTCTGTGACATAAAGATATTTCTATGTGTTTAAATTTACAGGTACTAAAAGTACATACAAGCACTCTTTTACACATATGTTGCTATTTAAGTTTGATTTTTGTAATACATGTTTACAATATTATGGGTAGTATTTGTGTACTCTTTATTAACAACATAAAATTTATGTTTCTTGCCAAACAAACCCCATATAACAGCAACATTTTCAATTATCAAATTGAAAGGAATTGTTGATAATGCCCCACATATGCATAGTATAAATCGAGCAATACCAAATCTATATAAAGAAAATGATTTAGCTACTCCAAAAACATACATATAAATATTCACTGCACCAATGAAAGCACATAGAAAATCTATAAATGGAGGACAAGTAATGGGATAAATTCCAGCTAATATTAAATTAGAAGTAGAAAGGGGCATTGTTACCCATGAGTAACAAGATATGCCAAGAAGCAATTTTTTATTTAATGGAATAGCTTTGGAATGTACGACAAGTAATATACCTTGTAACCACCTTTTTCTTTGTTGTACAAAGTCCCATAATGTAAATGGTGATTTTTCCCACATTTCACCATCCACAAAATTAAACGTATACCCTTCGGTAAATGCTTTCATTGCAAAAAAACAATCCTCTGCAACAGATCCATCTAGTCCATTATTAAAGGAAACTTGTCTTTCTGCACCCATCTGTAATAATGAAATTGATGGATGTGATTCATTTGTAATAAAATATTAATTACCTGACTAACAACATAAGAACCTTTCATACTAAAAAAAGGCTTATGAAACATAGTGAATTGTAATCGTAATTTTCCCATATCATCTGCTACTCTAAAACTGTCTGCTAAAGTAGTAATCCAATTAACAACATCTTCATTTGCATATGTTATTAATCCTTGTCCAAATTGATGTTTTCCATCCAATACAAAATTCAATATACCACGAACAGAATTTTCAGTCAATAAAGTTTCTTCATCAAGATGTACAATCCAATCACGATCTGCTAATTCATTTACTGAATTTTCTAAGCAATACTGCAACGCACGTGCTTTGAACAAAGCACCACTACTTGTGCGATAATTTGGTGGTACAACAATTTCTCTAATTCTTCTCTGACGGAATAATCCAATAGACTTATCACTAACTACTTCAATTTGAAAGTTTTCCAAACCCGTTTCTAGACACAAGGTTAAATTTCTTTGCACATTTTGTCTCACTAATTGTGGATAATCTCCTCGTGTTACTATTCTAATACAAATAAACGGTGCAAGTAATGGTGAACCTTTCAAAACAATTTTATCTGGGAATGTATTGTATATTGTTAATCCCACAAAATTAAATAAAACTTGAGGAAACGAAAGAAATGTAAGTGTTCGTAAAAAATATAAAGTAAGTGCACCAAGAAATCCATATTGAACCCATGGATCAAATGTTTCCTTTTTACTATTATTCCAACTAATTCCTCCAGCAATCAGTTCAAACACAATTATAACAGTAAGTAGTAAACAACAGTGCAAAATATGTTTTGTTACACTGTTCAACATTATTCCTGAAAAATGTAAAATTAAATAAATTAGTAATTATAAACGTTATATATGTATATTTTTATGTATTTTCAATATTAAAAGTCATATATAATAATAATGACGAATAAATGTTTAATAATTACATTATCTTTTGTATAAAAGTTGTTCTAACAAAAGTAATAAATACTAACTATTAATAATTACTAGTAATGTTTAAATAATTAAGAATATTATAGCATTTTACTGTTATTTACACAAAAAATATAAAATCGTACATTTTAATACTTGATCAATAGTACAGAAGTACATTCATTAAAAATAATACAAACTGTAAAATTAGAATAACCTTATCAATTTATGATTATAGATATAAATAGAATATGGAATATGAAATAAGATAAAAAAGATAAAATTTAAATCGAAAATACGAAAAGCAATTTTTGGGAAAATAAATACATTTACACTTAACAAAATTCTATTCTGTATTTTTTACACTTTATTTCTTCATGATCTTCTACTTGTAAACATCACAATCTCACGATTTATGGTCTATTGTTTCTATTTCTTTAATATCAGGTGAAACTATCAATCTTCTTGAACTTATTATAGTATAAAATATATTAATCAAGAGTACGCGAATATGTTTTCAATACTGAAATCGTACAAAAGTAATAAATTATGGTATTTTTAATAATAATATGCAATTCAAATAATAATTTGAAGCTTTATTTCAATTTTATATCAAAGAATACTAAGTTATTATGTACATTTTTATAATGTTAAGAAAATATTAATAGTTATTAGTAATGTTCATCATTTAATTGGTCTAGTTAAAACATTATACTAATCATGTACCTTTTTCTCGTGCAGTTATTATTAATGTAATATAGCATTAAAAATTTCTTTTCTCCGATTTATTGCCCAAAACAACAAATTAATGTAAATGAATAATATAAAAAATAGTTTATGGACCGGTATAAAATGAAAATATTTTCATAGTTTCAAGAGCGCTTCACTGACATTGATTTTCCTTGGCTTGGAGAATGACTTACATTCATACATTCTTTGATTGTTTTACAAGAAATGATTACATATCAATATGAGATAAGAAAATCAAATCAACCTATGAAATTGTAATAAATATCGAAATTTGACATTAGGGTATTACTAACACAATAGTCGCACTGATAGAAATGACCTATTTTTGATTGTTTCCAATACCTAAAATCAACTTTCATGATTGGTTAATATAACATTCATGAATAAAATTAACTATATATTTTTTGTAATCCGAGTATTAAGTGTTATTTCAAAATATTGACGTATATTTCCATATCAATTTAAACATTACATGAATGTAGTCAAAAATCGTTAAAAAATAGTAATGCATTTTAGTAATGGAAGTAAAACAAAAGAGAGAACAGATTACATCAATAAATAGCTTTAGATATACATACATATGCATTAAATTTGGTAAACGAATTTGTCAAAATCATTAAACAGTTATTATATCACAGTTATATACA